AGACCATAAAAGCGCTCCAAGATCTTAGATAGCACAGACAAAACAGCGATAGGTCTATAATTATCCTTATTTTGTCTCGAGCCCTTTTTGAACACAGGCGTGATCTTGCTGATTTTCCACTGGTCTGGAAAAATACCCGAGGTTATGCTAGTGTTATAGATGTAGAGAAGGGATGGGAGGACTTCGTTGCAGCCGACTTGAAGAAGGTGGATGTTTATCGAGTCAACTCCTTTTGCTTTGTTACACGACAAGTTGTTGATTGCATTCAGAAGGTATTCTGCAGACATGACTGGAACCGTGAAGTGGTGGTTATCTGGAAGGCGAGTTTTCACAAATTGTCGAAGTGGTTCTAAATTTGGTTCGTGATGTGTTGTATCATGGATGACAGAGTCTGCAATTTGTGAGAAATGCGAGTTAAACAACTGTGCAATTATGGCTGGGTTTGTGACCGAAACCCCATTATCGATTATCTCGTTTGGTGTTGTTTTGTTGGAGTTCAAGTTTCCCGCTTCTTTCATCAGTTTCCATAGTTTCCTCGAGTCATGTTTGTTCTGTAAAATTTCGTGTGCAAAGTAATTCTTTTTCGCTTGTTTAATGTTAAATGATATTCTATTCCTACATGATCTGAACGTTTCCCATGATATTGTTCCGTTTCGAGCTTTTGTTTTTAGCTGATCTCGTTTCTTTATGTCAGACAGAATTTCAGGCGTCATCCACTTAAGCAGCTGTAAGGATTTGACTCTTTTCGTTCGGAGAGGGGCATGTCGTTCAACAACACTCTGGAAGATCTCGTACCAGAGTGCAAGGGCGTCAGATGGATCGTCAAATGCTTCAATTGAGGACCATGGGGCCAGACGTAGATCTTCACGAAAATCTGTTTTGTTCAAGTTGGATAAGGATCGATATTGAATAGTGCTCTTTTCATTTTGTTTTGATCTCATGGAAGCGTTACAACGGCGTACGAGGAAGACAGGATAGTGATCACTCAGAGAAAGTGGTGGTACATGTATTGACGCAACATTTCTTTCAGATGAACAGTAGATGTGGTCAATGAGCGTTGAAGTGACACTGAATGATCCGTTCACGTATCGAGCTTCCGTTCTCGTTGGCACTGTGACTAGTTGTTTGAGCCCGAGTTGATGTATACGTTTCAGGAATACGCTAGATTTCGATTTTTGACATAGAACATTCATATTAAAGTCCCCAAGAAAATAACATTCCTTATTTTCTGACGCTACTCTCTCCAAAATTTCTGTCAAGCAGTAGTCATGAGAACTGTCTGCCGATGGTGGTCTGTAAACGTTGAGTAATAAGATTGGTGATACATAATGGGGTTTGATCTCAATACACGTAGATTCAATGTTCTCGGAGCCTAAGTCACTTCTATGGGTAAACGGCACGTCGTTATGGATGTAAGTGATGATTCCTCCACCGGAAGTGTTCGAAGATCTATCGAGTCGAATAAACGTATAATTGGGGATGTAGAGCATGTCGTCCGGCCAAGAGTCATTGAGCCACGTTTCAGAGAATGAAATGACGTGAATGGTAGGCTTCCGGATTAAGAGTGCTTTTATTTCATCCAATTTAGTTGCACATTTAATACTTCGGATGTTTAGGTGACCAATTATCAATCCTTTGGTTTTCTTAGGAAGATCAAAACAACCGTTTTCATGAGTTTGGTTTGTTGGTCCAGGGTTCAATTCAATGTCGTGCATTAATTGTATTGTAGGCCTGAATGATGCGGTGGAATTGTAGTAAAAGTTAGTGGGTGCTCGGGCCCTTTTGATCTTGATAGTAGAATTTATTGTGGTTTGATACTTTATCTGTGTTGGAAGGTTATCGTACCGTGGTTTGATCAAGCGTAGATCTTGTAGATGGTTTAGGCATAATGGCTTCGTAGATATCCAAATGATAAGAGAACATGTAAGTTGGCACATAACCAACTTAATCAAAGTTTTGCGATTGATTAGAACCATTTTACAATTTATAATTGAATAAATTCAGTCGCTAATTGTGTTCTAAAAGTATTTAAGCTCTGTGATGGCGTGCGGAAGTTCGTTAGGAATACAAACAGCGTCAGCAAACTATGTCGTGATCACACGCCCGTCTGATGTTTCAACGGCTGTTTTGTCCTTCAGATAAACAAGAGTTTCAATTATCCAAACAATTTCCCACTGATACTTTCCAAAACAAACTGAATTTCAACAAACAGATATAAGTTGTCCAAAGAACAAGTCTTTATCCACCAAAATTTATGCAATTTCTTCTCAAGTCAAACGTATTTAACAACTAAAATTCACAATTTTTTTAGAGCTTTTTCACGTACGTGCGAGCATGCGCACGCGATGACGTATATCCACCTATATATACCTAGATGACGTATATCCATTGCTATGGCTAGGCTTCACCACTGACATCGTTATAATTAATTATGTTGAATCGTGCACCATGACTTTTTTCAATACATAGAAATCATCCGTCTCATATTTCTTCCTGGCAAAGTGGGATCATATGAACAGCGCCTTATTCAGCAAATTATGCATGCTGCCTTTGATCCATTGGGGGTGAGGCAGCACTTTTCTTGCGATAGTAACTTCTAGTTAAACATAGCCACAACAGACGTGTGTTGTATATTTCATACAGGCGCCATCTTTAATCTCCTACAACCGCCTGTTGACATTGATCTCTAACAATTACCTGAATACATAACATCCCCCCTCTTCCAACGTTAACAAAGTATAACTAAACAAAATATGAAACTAAGAGTTCTTTAAAGTAAATGTCCCGAAAACTAATGTGTATAATGGATATATTAAATGTTCAATTTAGCTGGGTTTTCTGCTGATTCTTCCACTTCTCGTAATGTAATGGCTTCGGTGAGTTTCTGATCCTGATTTCTGGACAAACGTTTCCTTGTCTTTCACCGTGGACGTTGCTGTTTCTACTGGTGGGTGATGAGTTGGTGGTACGCTTACCGGGTTTGGGTTATCAAGGGTTTCTTGGTAGTTCATATCGTCGCTGGTAGCGTAATCATTCTCTGCTACTTCCACTGTTGATCTTCCTGGGTCTAATCTTAAGGCTACTCGGTTACTTCTAAGCTTTTGTTGTCCTGTGTCTACAATGTACGACCGAGGTGATGAATGATGGTCGACCACAGTTGCTTGTCTCCATAGCTACGACCTTGGTTCTGGTCGGATTCTTACGTGTTCACCAGATTTCAGTGGGGATAGTTCTTTTGTCCCATGGCCAGTGGCGGCGCCAGGCCTCCAAATTTGGGGTGGGGTATTTGAGGGGCAAACTCAAATTTGGGGGGGGGGGCAAGATAGAATTTTTGAAAAGGTCGCCCCCCCCCCAGGAGATGCCCCTCTTTAGGACATTCGTCCCCCATATATGCGATGTGGTTTATTCGTTCTTAGAGACTAATAATTTTTTGAGGGGTGCAAAAGGGGGAAATAATTGGGGGGGGGGCATTTGCCCCCTGGCGCCGCCACTGCCCATGGCGGTAATGGTAGTAGGCTTGCTTTTCCTTTACATGGCCCACTCGTCTCTTTATAGCATTTGTGTTATATGCTTCGGGCTCTAATAAACTGCGTGCTATCGGGAAGTCGGTTCTCAGTCTCCTCCCCATACATAGCTGTGATGGTGACAGATCAATGTCTGCTAGTGGTGTTGCTCGATAGACCAAGAGGGCTTTGTGCTTGTCATTGTTCTTTCTCCACAATGATTTAACGATCTTTACTGCCGCCTCTGTTTCTCCATTTGTTTTGTATGTTTTGGACTTATCAACACGTGTTGAAAGTCGTAGGCTTTTGCGAAATTCTTAAATTCTACGCTTGTATATTGTGTGCCACAGTGTCGTCAGCCTTTCTGGAATATCATTTCTCTCAAAGTGTCATTTCAAGACTTCGATGGTACTAAAAGCTGAGAGGTCGTTGAGTTCTGTGACTTCAATGTACTTGGAGTAGTAATCTATACTGACAGTACATAGTTTCTGCTCTTGAACGTAAATATGTCAGATGCTGCTTCGGTCCATGGATACCTTTCTTTTAAGCCGGACGGTGCTACTAATGAGCTTGATGTAATATGTGCACTACAGAATTGTATCAAGGATATCAGGACTTGGATGACAGTTGATAAGCTTAAACTGAATGATGGGAAGACAGAGTTTTTAATAATTGGAACTGCTGCTCAGCTCAAAAAGGTTAACATCTCTAGTATTGTCATTGGTCAAGATAGTGTTCCAGTAGTATCGTGTGCCAGAAATCTCGGAGTATGGTTTGATAACAATCTTAATATGTCACATCATATAAATAAGACTTGTCAATCTGTAGTATATCATCTTTATAACATTAGACGTATTCGAAAGTTTTTAAGCTATCAAGATAGAAAGTCTGTGGTCCAAGCACTAATAATGTCAAGGATAGACTACTGTAACAGTCTTCTATTTGGTGTCACAGATGTACATCTGTCTAAACTACAACGGCTGCAAAATACAGCAGCACGTCTTATCTGTTCTATCCCTAAACATGATCACATCACTCCGACTCTCATCAAACTACACTGGCTTCCCGTTCGATTAAGGATCAAGTTCAAAATTGCCATGCTTGCTTTTAAATGTATCCATCAGTATGCACCTCTCTATCTTGTCGATCTTTTAAAAGTAAGAAAGACATCGTGCTATAGTCTAAGATCTAACGAAGGCACACTGCTTGAAGACTACAGTACAAAAACAAAGAAAACACTCGGTGACAGAGCATTTGTAACCTCCGCTCCAAAAATCTGGAATGAATTACCTATGTATATTAGAAATCTGCATAACTTTAGTATTTTCAAGAAATTAGTTAAGACTTATTATTTTGAAGAAGCCTTTAATGTAAATACTTCATGTAACATATAATCTATATAATCTTGTTTATATTTTTAGTTAGTAACCATTCAGCATAGAATAATTTTAGTGCAATTATGTTTTGTGATGCGCATTTGATCATATACTATAACATGTTAATTTGCGCAATATAAATATTAAATATTATTATTATTATTAGTCTGGAGTCTTGCTCGGCATCATTGGTTCTTTCTACTGCGCTGTTGCATAGTTATGACATGAACTGCAGTCCTTCACTTTCGCTTCAACTTGAAAACTTATGCCCGGCCAATACAGCGCTTCTCGTACTCTCCGCTTGGATTTCACAATTCTTTGGTGAGTCTCGTGCCCCAGCTCCATCATTTCCTGTTGCAAAGATGGTGGTACTACGATTGTCATCCTTCGATCGGTAAATTACGCCATCCATTATTGCTAATTCATCTCGATTGTCCCAGAATGGTTTGACGCTGTGAGGCAGTTGCTACTTTGTGGTGGGCCATCCTACCTGGATGACAGCATCGTGTAGCTTATTCGCAGTTCTTTGTTGCAGTTCCTGGTATTTGTCTTGCATGACATATATTCTCTCAATCATGTTGACTTATCGCAGACTGATCTCAGCCGACCCCCCTTTGAGCGGCGGAGAAACAATCTGCGATCAATCAACACTAATGCCGTGCAGTTGCCTCCGCACAACGGGCGGCGGAATATGATTGGTTGAAATTTTCCTTTGTGATCACGCTGAAAATTGCATAAATTGCATTGTTATTATGTATAATAATTCATGGTTGCTCTGCGTCCGCCATCTTAAACTTGATATTTTTTAAATAATTTCATATTAATTATGCAAAATGCTGCTTACGTAACTGTACGGCATTAGTGTTGGTTGATCTCAGACTGTTTCTCCGCCGCTTCAGTGGGAGTCGGTTGAAATCAGTCTGCTATCGCAGACTAGTTGACTTGAAACTCCTTTTTTTCGGATGGCACAACAATATGACTGGCCCTGCTGAGCGTATCTGCGATGACTTGCTTCTTGCCAGGAAGGTATTCAACTTTCAAGTCATATCCTTTCACTTTCAACATCATGGTCTGCAGCCACCAGTGCCTTTTTTAACTATATATCTGGGAGGGGGGGGGGCAATTGCCCCTCTCCCAGGGAAAGAATTCCCCCCCCCCCAGTAAAGCCGTTGCTGCCCCCGAAGTGCGAAGCAGAATTGCTCATGATTGCTGTCAGAATTGCAGTTGATTTACTTGATAATGAGATTATGCCCTTCCGTAGCCTCCTCCACAGCCATCTTGTGTGTAATGCATATTGTTCTTCACCGAGTATTTCATAATAGCGATAGATTTCATGCAAACAATCCGATAAAATGCTAGCCTTTCCAAGCCTTGCGACTATTCCCTATCACTCTCCTCCGCAGAGGCGTTGTGTTTTGTTTTGAGAGGTTTCATTGCAATTTCTTTTCTTAAAAATAAGTACACGTTACATGCTCGAAGCTGAAACTGATTAAGTACGTCTCGACTGAGAATAAAGACGATATACTGGAGGAACTTGATTTGTGAAATCTCGTTAAAGCAGTTGTAGACATGGTTCCAAGAAGAATAGATTTAGTTTAGATTTTTAACTGTTAAATACATGTATGCATCATCATAGCATGAATATTTCTTCTCAGACTTATTCTTTATCGTATAAAAGAGCAACGCAATTTTGAGAATGCGGAAGTGGTGTCTCATATAGAACCTAAAATGAATTTATTCCAATTTATTTAATTCCGAGTAGAAATGTCTGGAAAAATTCATGTCTTCGATGTACTTTATAATCTTCGGAATTTTGCTAGATTTCACCCCCAAAATGCATGAAATCGCAATTCAGGGACCCTAGATTTCAAAATTTTTCGGACCCTCCTAGACGCGGTCTCACGCCTTTGGCGTGAGGTTCGTCCCCCCCCCCCCCACGAAATTAAGGTTTGGCTACGCCACTGATTATAGTTGTAGGATTATATCTACAAAGAGTTGAAGTTATTGTTTAAAGTAAAATATAGCTGAAGTTAATAAATTAAAGTTTTACAAAATCTCTCTTCAGACTCGCGCGTTCGCCAAACCTCGACGGCTCATATTTGTCGTCCTGCCCTTTTTCCTGTTTTGTCCCCCCCCCCCAGTGAAAATTCCTTAAAAAAGGCACTGATAGCCACAAGGGTGCTGACAGCAAAGGCTTACGAAAAATGGTCTCTAATGGCTTATGGCTGCATTTCCTTTCCTACGATGTATCTTCTGAATTTTTCTGTGCTGAACACAACATTTCGCCAACAATTCTTTCTCAATAGTTGACCAGTTTAGCTCGGATGTAAGAATCTTTTGGGATGCATACGCTATGGGTTTGCCTTCTTGTATAGCGTCACACGTCTCGGATCTGTATCTGTGCTGCTTATATCTTTTATGCGTGGGTTTGCCTTCTTGTATAGCGTCACACGTCTCGGATCTGTATCTGTGCTGCTTATATCTTTTATGCGTTGAAAAGCGTTTACAGTCTCCAATTTGGTGATACCAGCCGACAGCGGCGCATCTTTATAAGTTTGTTCAGGGTATACAATTCGCAAGGCTCGCTTTTGTTCAGGGTATACAATACGAAAGGCTCGCTTTTGGATTTTTTTAAGTTAGTCAGATAAATAGCATGAGATAGAGGTGTGCCAAACTTCACAAGAGTATTCAAGGATTGAGAAGGTCTGCAGGAGGAATACTACTTCGGCGCAACACCCGGAGGATATGCAATCGTTTGGATGCCTTCGAGACTATTTTATGGATATGTTCATCCCATTTTAGGTTGTTTTGGATCGTAAGTCCCAGTACTTTATGTGAACGCACTGTCTCAATTGGGTGTCCATCGATTAACAGAGGCATTAATTGGGGGGTTTCTCCAAGGAAACTAACACGAAGCTCTTTGCATTTTTTGATATTAAGTTTCATCCAATTACCGGAAGCCTACAACTGAACTGAATTAAGGGTTGATTGAGTGATAGAGGTGCAATTTCTGCTAAGACTCTCAGAGGTTGAAACGTCGTCTACGTATTTCCACATTCGAGTGTCGGAAGAAGTGATTCGCAGGTTATTGACCATTACTAGGAACAAGAGGTTGCTCCGTCAAATTTAACACGCTGCCTTCGATTTGAGAGAAAGTTGATGATCCAAGGGATTAATGAGCGTCTAACACCCAAATTTATCAGTTTCTCAATTAATAGATTATAACCTATGCAGTCGAAGGCTTTGGAGAAGTCCAGGAAACAAATACGCAGATGATTACCGAGTCCGTCAAGATTGGAAAGCCAAGTATGTAACATATCCAGAAGGCAAAAAGTAGTGGATGTCCCTTTCAGACAACCAAATTGGCTGGGGTCGATTTTTTCTTTTACATCCTCAATCAGCCAATATACTACAAAATTCTCTAAAACTTTAGACAAGCACGATGTTAGTGATATAGGCCTAGTGTCGGCTTCAGCAATCGGTTTACATGTTTTAGGGATTGGGACTATGTTCGATTCCTTCTAACTACTCGGCACAACTCCTGAAGCAAGGGATGTATTAAAAATAATGGTGATCGGCTCAGCTAGCATGTGAGCATACTACTTTAAAATTCGAGGTGAAATATTGTCAGGTCCGGGGGCTTTGAAAGAATGGACAGTTTGGAGTTTCTTACAGACTTGGTAACATTCAACTACAGGTACACTTTCATTTGATGGTAAAAACGGTGGTAATAAGTTCACATCTAATGGCGGAATATCAGCGTTAACGGAAGTATAGAATTTGTTAATGGCATTGGAAGCTTGTAAATTGTTTAGGATTTCACCATCGCGTTCTAAGGTGAAAGGCTTTGTTGTTTCGGGTTTGCCAGACATTTTGTTAATGATTTTCCACCACTTACGACTATCACTGTTTTTTAAATGCTGAACTTTGTTTTTATAAAATGATTTCTTTCTTTGCTTAATCTCCTCTTGGACTTTATATCTTAAAGATTTCCATAGGGGGATATTATGGTTATGGAATGCTTTCTGTCGGTCTTTAATCAGTTTTTTAATACTTGGGGTTATCCAAGGTTTATCGGTTTGATGCCACTTCACAGTTATAGGAGGGAATATACGATTAATGGCTTCTGTAAGGTGCGATGAGAATGATGATGTTAAATCGTCTACCGTTTGATTAGTCCCTAACTCGCCAAACCAGACATGTGTAGCGATCCATCTCCCCAAAGCTTCAACCCCAGACCTTGGATAGCGCCGGATGCGACGTTTGACAGATTTCGTACGTTCTTGAGAATTGGTATTCTCTAGACTGGGTGACCATGTTACAATGTTATGGTCTGAGGACCCTAAGGGCGCTAAAACTTGGGGAGGTTCATACAGGTTTGGTTGGTTCGTAATTATCAGATCCAAAATGGCTGTTCCTCTTGTAGGGACTTTGACAACTTGCTTCAGGTTATGACTTGATAATATATTCGATATATCGAAATCGTTAAAATCACCAAGAAGGACTAGACCACAGTTGGGATGTTGGTTGCGTAATGAATCAATTGTTAAAACTAAGTATTCATTAAGTTGGCGGTGGTTTTCTACAGGTAAACCAGGGGGATGATAGACTATGCACACTGCAATACCAGAGAGCGGTCTGGGAAGGCGGGTAGGGTGAAGCCACACCCACAGACATTCTAAATTTTCATGTTCCAGGTCCAACCTACGTTTGGCATAGGTGCCCTGTGGTAGATAAACACAAATTCCTCCTCCACGACGGCTAGAACGGTCTTTACGAAAAATGTTATATCCGTTTATCGAAAAGAGTCCATCCTCGATGTCACTGTTCAACCACGACTCAGTGACCGCCACTACACTGGGTTGGCGACAACTTAAAAACAAGGTGAGTTCATCTATTTTTGGAAGCAGCGATCTGGCATTAATACAGCAGAAATTAGGTAAATGTGACTTTGAAGACTTTGTAATACAGGTATTAGGTTTGTGTATGACAATATTTTTCAGATTTAGTATGTTAGAGCCACAAGGTCTATGGTGATTTTGGTAAGTTGTAAGAAATGGTTGGGATTTCCGTGCAGTAATTCGTGTAGGAATAGACATAGTTTTCACATTTCCTACCTCTTGCACAGTTGGTGTACAAAGTCCAAATGGCCCAGCCATTCGAGGGATTGGTGGCGATGGCCCGTTCGATAGGGTGGTGGTTTCATTCGATGGCGCTTGGGAAAAGGAGGCTTGTTCGAGGTATTTCCATTAATATATTGGTTATTATTCGCTTGGTATCTATTGACGGTAAAGAACCAATCCAATCCGATATTGGTTGCTTTTCGGGCATATTTGCAATTTGATTGATTTGTAGTGCCTTGTTTTGTAAGTCCATTTAGTATCGTGAAACGGCACACTTTCAAGGTCCCTATTATTTACAGGAGCAGGGATGAAAGGTTGTAAACTGACGTTTTGAGATTTGCATTGATTTAACTCATTGTTGTTATGATAACCATTGTTTCGGTGACCATTTCTGTTGTTTTTGTTCATAAGAGCGTTTTTATTAATCTTACTATTGTTATTGTTATTGTTCATC